AGCGACTGGGACTTTTCAATGGTGTGGAGTGGGTGGATAAAGAAAAGTTATGTATTAGTTCCCATAATAGAAGAACTAGAGGACACCAAATGAAATTAATTAGGTAGCAGGTTTAAAACTAATAAAAGAAAGTTCTTCTTCACACAGCGTGTAGTCAACCTGTGGAACTCCTTGCTAGAGGAGACTGTGAAGTCTAGGACTATAACAGAGTTTAAAGAGAAGTTAGATAATTTCATGGAGGTTAGGTCCATAAAAGGCTATTAGCCAGGGGATAGAAATGGTGTCCCTGGCCTCTGTTTGTCAGAGGCTGGAGGAGGATGGCAGGAGACAAATCGCTTGATCATTGTCTTCGGTCCACCCTCTCTGGGGCACCTGGTGCTGGCCACTGTTGGCAGACAGGCTACTGGGATAGATGGACCTTTGGTCTGACCCACTACAGCCATTCTTATGTATAGCACTGTTTGAAGCAGGATTTGTTCCAGAAGCTTGCTGAGATTCAATTTTTGCTGAATATGTTCCTTGTGCAATTGGGGAAGTATGCAGTGACATCAGGAAGTTTAACATTAACTTCCTCTTTTGTTACCCTTGTTTTTTCTTGCTTAAAGTGAAGTTAAATGCAAAAAGCTTATGTTGATGGAGGCTAAAGTCCAGAATAAGTTATTTTGAGAAACAAGCCAAATAATGCAGAAGTTAATGTTGCTATGAGACTTAACTTGAATAGCTTATTTGTACAGCACTGTGCATGTCTTTGACTGGCAAACTTATTGCTGAAAACCAAATTTGGAATAGCCTGGCACAATAATGGCCATGTCCTCACACAGGTCACTGTCTTTTTTGCTACCTGTTACTTCTCCTTACTGTCCTTTTCCCCATTTGTCTTTTGTTTTTTACAGGCAGTCCCCAGGTTACGTACAAGATAGGGACTGTAGGTTTGTTCTTAAGTTGAATCTGTATGTAAGTCGGAACTGGCTTCCAGATTCAGCCGCTGCTGAAACTGACCAGAAGCTGACTACAGGAAGCCCAGGGCAGAGCAACTCTGCCTTGGGCTTCCTGTAGTCAGCCGCTGGTCAGTTTTCGCCGCGG